CTAGTCTTACTTACCGGGGCATCCTTGCTCATCTTACGTTGTAAATCTTTTACCTCGGAGGGTGTGAGTGGGGCTAAAGTAACCTTCCGCTTGTTATGCATGAACGTGTAGTAGTTGGTACGCCCGTTATGCAAGGTTTCATGGTCGTATTGCCACGGTCTTCCAAGTAGGAGATGCCCGGCTTGCATAGGCACAACATCACATAAGACTTCGTCGTGATACTTGCCTATACTAAAGGTCACCGTGGCTTGTTCAGCGATCTTAAGCTCCCCGGTGTCATTAAGCCACCTTAGTCGATACGGTCGCGGATGCTTTCTCGTGGGTAGACCTAACTTGTCAACCAATAACTTGCTAGCCACGTTAGTACAAGAACCACCGTCTATAATAAGACTACATACCTTGTTGTTCACGGTGCATCTTGTATGGAATATGTTTTCCCGTTGTACGGTTTCTTCCGGGTTAACCGTCATGTTGAGCACCCGACGAATGACCAAAAGTTCACCTACGTCCGGGTATTCAATTCCGTCGTCTGGGTCGCTAGTATCTTCCTCCGGTTCATCTTGGGACTCGTAACCGTTGGTTGTTATGATCATGACTCGTTGGTTGGGGCATTCCCTCGCCATATGTCTGCGCCCCTGACATTTAAAACAAATTATATCCCGAGAACGGTTAGTAGAGACGGCTTTACTTGCTTCCGGTCGGATTGGAGCCTTGGAGTTTTCCACCGTATTCTTCTTAAACCGCGAGTCCACCTCGATCGCTTTGCCTTTTTCCGGTGGCTTAGAACTTCCCGGAGTCCACGGATTGACTTTAACTCGGCTAACGGCCGCCACCTTTCGCTTAATATGTTGTTCGGCTTGAATAGCCAAGTGCACAACTTCTTGCAAGTCATGATAGGGTTGCCTTTCCACCTTGCGAGAGATTCGGTCTTGAAGTCCTTCTATGAATTGAGCCATGAGAGTCTCCTCCGACTCTTCGGTCTCCAACCGGTTGATAAGCTGCTCAAATTCCTCATAGTATTCTTCGACCGTCTTATTTCCCTGCACCAACTTACGAAAACGTTTTGTAAGTCCCTATGGAAATAAGTAGGCACATACCTCTTTCTTAGACAGAACTTCATTTCGTTCCATGTTCGTATTTGGTCATAATGGTTCCTTCTTCGTTCGGCTACATCTCTATCCCACCAAGCCAAAGCGTTGTGGGTGAATTGGGCCGCAGCAAACGTCACTCGCTTCTGGTCGTTGTAGTTGTAACACGAGAAGATGTTTTCCATCCTCTTCTCCCAATCAAGGTAGGCGTCGGGGTCGACTCGTCCGGCAAAGGTAGGCGCCGTAAGCTTCGGGTCGACCATTTGGTGGGGTGGATTTTCGACTCTCTCCCGTCCTCTATGAAACGGGTCTCTCCTTTGGGGTCCGACATGGGGTTCTCCCTGTTCGTACACGCCTTCATTCGGTGCTCGAGGAGGAGGTTGTTGGTTCCGGATGGGGTTGATGACCCGGGGTTGCTCGAGACGGGTCATGCGATATCCAAACATTTGGAGGGTGGTTTGGATAGCAGCTATTGTGGCTGCAATAGGATCCAAGGGAGCTTCGGTGTTGTTCTCCATCTGCGGATGCAAAAGAAGTGACAAAAACAGCAAGTATCAACGAACGGATAACAATTGAAATCGAACAAGAACAAACTGAAAATCGACAATTTTTTTTTTTTTTTGAACTTAACTAACGATTAACTCAAACAACTACAAGATTACTACTAACTATTTTTTTTTTTGACTTAGAATAAACGAAACAATAGCTTAGAGGAATGGAGATGGAGTGATACAACCTAGGGTGTAGAACCTTTCGGCTATGATACCAGATGATATACGCTCCAAGGGTCACACGTACGCACGAACTAGGGTCGATCGAGTTGGCCTTCGCTCTCTCTCGATAAAACCGCAAACAAGACGAAACTCAATGGAACAAGATAGCTTAGGGGAAGCAAGGGGTTTCGATCAACCAAGTAACAAGCTCACACGGATTGATTCAAGGGGAAACCACTCAAGAATACTCGTGTAAGAACTCTCAACTCGCAAACGGCGCAAGAGAAGAAAGTGCAACTTTATTGATCTAGGTTAAAACGTGACTACAAGGCTGCGAATGGGACTTTATTAATAGTCCTTCAGCCATGACCTTCGAGGGTCGAGATTCAATCTCAAATAAACTAACGGTTACAAAATAAAGTAAAGAAAAACAACCAAAAAGGAAACTTGTGTCATTCGCACAAGTGAACACTCTCCACAAGTCGGAGGCTTAGGTTCGACTCTCTAGGACTTAGACTCAATGAAATAAAACTAAAATGTTCGGTTGACAGGTCCTGCAAAAACACTTAAGAGAAAATGGAAACAATGAAAACCGAACTTACCTTATTCGGAGGAATGAGAGGCCACGTAGTTGTTTCTGGTTCTCCTTCTTCTTCTTCACCTTGGTTCTTGTTCTCTAGGCAGTCTTTAACTTCGTACGAGCCTATACGGCCTTGTCCTCCATTCTCGGTGTTACGGGCTTCGGACGTGCCATTACGGCGGTAGTAGTGCTCCTCTCGATCATCTCCCAATCCGTCTCGGTCGTGGGCATTTCGGCTTCGATCGTTGTCTCCAGAAACATCACTTATCGAGTGATTATCGAAGCCCAAGTTGTTTGGATCAACTTGGTTCGAGACTTCGCTCCGTACAAGCTTTCCGGCGTCCGGGGGTGGTACTTGTCGAGCTTCTTCGTGTTCTGCGGGTTGTTTCTCCAAACGCTCTCGATCAAAGCTTTTAAAATCAGCACTTTGTTGATGAATCTCGAATCCCTTGGTATTTGGTGGTGGGTCGTCCGGGTCGATCGTTCGGGCGTTCGTGTCGTCGATGCAGGGTGACGATGCTCGATCGACTCGTGTTTCTAGGGGGTTTCCTGCAAAACCGGCTCGATCGTTAGTCCTAAAATATGGACTTGGTCGATGAAACTTACCTCGGTTGGTCTGTTCTCCATCGTTGGGCCGATGGAACTTGTTGAGGCTTCCACTCGCGTCCGGGGGTCGAGGGTCGGCCGATAGAATATCCATTTGGCCGGTTGCGTTGATCAGGGCCTCAACTCCTTCATTGAATGTTTCTCTTAGCTTCCTCGTACGTGAACGGGTCATTGGTCCAACTATGACCGTCGGGATTGTTGGTGTCGGGTCACTCGTTACCGGTTCGTGGCCGTCCGTCGAGCACTCGTCGATGTCCGGTTCTATGTCCTCATCACCCCGGTAGATGCTCACTTGCTCAGTCATCCGGTGCAAATAGAAGAAAATCCACGAAACAGTATGTTGTGCCTCCCCATTTTTTCTTGAAAAATATTTGGAATGGACAACGACGCATGCATCCAGCGCAAATTGGCCAGGAGAGGGAACTGTCGGGAAGAGTCCGAACATCTATACAAATGGCTTGTCTAGAGTTATTAAGGGTTAGAATATGGTATAATACAATGAATTTGATTGATTACAAGTGCTAGAGATGCATGAAGAATGTTTAGAAGTGTGAAGAAGGACTTGTTGAAATTTGGTCCCAAATGGGATAAGAGCCCACAACCATTGCTTTGAGGCAGTAAATAGTTTGTCTAGTATTGTTTTGGGTTAGAATATTTTATAGGGAAATTACTCAGAATTACTTAGAAAAGTTACATAATTACTCTATTAATGTAGGTGAAGTTTGACTTACTAAAACAACATAGAATAGTGTGGTATTGGTTGTGGGATAATTTTAGTTCTCCGACGTTTTCTCGGTTTTACATCTCCGTCATCGTGTCCGGCTTTTGAAACATTTTGCTTGTTCTTCATGTTAGCACTTTTCATTGAAGAAGTATTAAAATTTGGAAGGTTGTTGGATAAGTGCTTGGATTTTCGTCCAATTGATGGTAAAAACATTCTAACTTCATCTAATCCTGATCCTTATTGCGGTTCAACTCTAATCTCAAGAATAATGCCGGTTAGTGAGATTATGGCAGGGGCTGCTATTGGACTTGCTCTCCAAGTCCTTCATGACGCCATCAAAAGAGCTATTGGGACCTTGATTTAGTTCAGATGGAAACAAAAGACGACGTGGGTAAGGTAATTTGTCTCTATGGAGAAGAATAACTGCGTCATAGTTGTGTTATAATAACAACGCTTAAGTGTCGTTTTACACGCCGTTATTAACTCGATTTAAGCTCACAAGCTATGTCTTTTAGTAATGGTTCCATCATGGTAAATTCAATCCATACAATAAGAACCCCCAAAGTCATCTCATGTTCATAGTTTTACAAGGTTATTATCCATTTATAAGTTATACACCAAGGTGGATGAAGAATACTCAGGTTTACAACATATTATGTCCATATATGTTGCAGTGCCTCAAAGCACTTGTAAGCAAGAGAGTTCTCATCCTTTCCACCATACGTGATTTTGAGCATCCATCCTTTCCACTTTAAGATATTCCACTAATTAAGAATAATTAATCCACTACTTTATGTATATATAGTCTCACCAAAAACAATAAACTAATACCGCGTGACAAAAGTATGTAATTTACGAGATTATATGATAGACATGTCAATTAATCGAAAGTTTTTACTTGCAGAAATTTGGACCGAAATGGGCTAATAACCCACAAACATTGCTTTGAAGAATTAAATGGCTTGTCTAGTGTTGTTTGGGATTAGAATATGTTAGAAAATAATAAATTTGATTGATTAAAAGTGCAGGAGATGCATGAAGAGTGTTTAGAAGTGTGGAGAAAGACTTGTTGAAATTTGGTCCCAAATGGGCTAAGAACTCAGAAACATTGCATTGAACCACTAAATTTCTTGGCTAGTGTTCTTTGGGGTTAGAATATGTTAGAGTATATTGAATTTGATTTATTACAAGTGCTAGCGATGCATGAAGAGTGTTTAAAACTGTGTAGAAAGACTTGTTGAAATTTAGTCCGAAATGGGCTAAGAACCCGCAAACATTGCTTTGTAGCATTAAATAGATTGTCTAGTGTTGTTTGGAGTTAGAATATGTTAGAATATAATAAATTTGATTGATTAAAAGTGCTAGAGATGCATGAAGAGTGTTTAGTAGTGTGGAGAAACACTTGTTGAAATTTGGTCCCAAATGGGCTAAGAACTCAGAAACATTGCATTAAACCACTGAATTGCTTGTCTAGTGTTGTTTGGGGTTAGAATATGTTAGAATATATTGAATTTCATTGATTACAAATGTTAAACATGCTTGAAGAATGTTTAAAAATCTGTAGAAAGACTTGCTGAAATTTGGTCCGAAATGGGCTAAGAACCCGCAAACATTGGTTTGAACCATTAAATGGCTTGTCTAATTTTGTTTGGGGTTAGAATATCTTAGTAATACAATAGATTTGATTGATTACAAGTGCTAGAGATGCATGAAGACTGTTTAGAAGTGTGGAGAAAGACGTTGAAATTTGGTCCGAAATAGGCTAAGAACCAACAAACATGTCTTTGAAGCAGTAAATGGCTTGTCTAGTGTTGTTTAGAATTAGAATATGTTAGAATACAATGGATTTAATTGATTAAAAGTGCTAGAGATGCATGAAGAATGTTTAGAAGTGTGTAGAAATACTTGCAGAAATTTGGACCGAAATGGCCTAATAACCCACAAACATTGCTTTGAAGAATTAAATGGCTTGTCTAGTGTTTTTTGGGATAAGAATATGTTAGAATATAATAAATTTGACTGATTAAAGTGCTAGAGATGCATGAAGAGTGTTTAGAAGTGTGGAGAAAAGACTTGTTGAAATTTGGTCCCAAATAGGATAAGAACTCAGAAACATTGCATTGAACCACTAAATTGCTTGTCTAGTGTTGTTTGGGTTTAGAATCTGTTAGAATATATTGAATTTGATTGATTACAAGTGTTAAAGATGCTTGAAGAGTGTTTAAAAATATGTAGAAAGACTTGCTGAAATTTGGTCCGAAATGGGCTAAGAACCCGCAAACATTAGTTTGAACCATTAAATGGCTTGTCTAATTTTGTTTGGGGTTAGAATATGTTAGTAATACAATAGATTTGATTGATTACAAGTGCTAGAGATGCATGAAGACTGTTTAGAAGTATGGAGAAAGA